GCTTTATTTGTTGTCATCGAAAAACATAAACGCACTGGAAAATATTTTCTGATGATTTCCTTCATTTTCTGGTGGCGTAAGTTAAATTCTTGGAATAAACACACGTTCGGAAGCATTTTGGCTTATCATTATTTCTGCATGTATAACATTGTTGTCAAGACCTCTGTATATCAATTTTGTACCGTTACATAAGTCGTTTGAAGGATCCAATTTTTTTAGTAGCATAATTGGTGATTTTTTTCTTAAATACCAAACTATATACTGGTAAACATAATTTATTTGTACGTATCACGTATATATAGAAACAAAATGCAGTTATTATTTTGATCAGGTAATTAAACTTTAAGTTATCATCTTGAATGTGTCTTACCTTAGCAAGAAGCAATCAACCTATATTCCAGTACCAAAAGCAAAAATCAAACAGACAAAGTAATCCAATCAAAAAGAGAAAGAAAATGCAAAATCTAAAGAAGAATAGGTGTGTGTATATTTTACATGAACGAAACATCCAAAATAGGTAAATAAAAAATGCAAAACGCAAAATTCACTCGAAGCATCAGAATTGATAACTCTAGCATACTAACTTCCAAAATGTTATAAAGTAGTTGGAAATACAACCGGCACTATATAATAGAAAGCAAGTTTGTGGACGTGAGTTTATGATAAAGAATGAAGAACAATAGTTTCTTTTATAGAAGTGATCAGCTCCTCCTTGTTATAAATTGGTTTGATTGTAAAACTCTAGAAACCTAGAATCCAAAACAAAGTAAAGACAGGAAGGGAACAATCCTAATACTGAGTCAGTAAACTAAGAAGGAATTATATTCTAAACCAAGACCAAAGAGATAATGGAATTGAATCCAAAACCAATACAAAAGGGACGTAACTAAGAAGAAATTAAATCCTAAACCAAGACCAAGGAGTCAAGGGAAATTGAATAAAAAACTTATACAAATGGGACGTAAACAGCATAGGCAAGAATCCCAAACAGTGTAAACACTACGTAGGAACACGACAATTTGGTTTATTTTTTTTCCAAGAAAATTGTTGTTAGAATTCCAATTATATCCAACATTTGGCCTTCGTGCTTTTAATATAGTATATACGCGCTTTGCGCGTGTACCCTATATCAATAAATATATAATTTTAATAATTACGTAATTATTATTAAAACTTTATATTTGAGTTCTTGAACTAAAATTTACAGCAATAATTTATTTATTTTTGTGTCAAGGGTTCGTGCTTTTATGCTCTTATAATAATATAAAAATATAAATATTTTCTTACTCTAACAAATTTTTTTCTCTTTATCGATTTTTTGTATAATATCTAAATATTATATTTAAAAATATTTAAAAATATATTTAATTAAGTATACGTGTCTCTCTTTTAATAGTGACAATCTTCCCCTTAGATATAGTGTAAATGTCCATTAATACTAGCCTTTATTCAGATACACTTTCTATAAAAAAATTTATACATAAAAAAAAAAGTAAGGACGATTTGTTTCTTACATCAAATTAAAACGAATTTGACACTTTCTAAGAAATTAGATTGTATTCAAAATAAATACATAATATCTCTAAAATTCAAAACGTAAGTAAAAAAGGGTTAAGAAAAGACTCATAAGGTATCGTTTGATAAGGATCAGTGTTCCCCAAATAAATTCCCATAACAAGAGTAGCTAGAACTCCCTTTTTAATAAAGTATTTTTCTCTTTAGTTATAATTCAATTACTTGTTGCAAAGATATTTTTCTCTTTTATTTATTTTAGATTTTAGCAATTGAACAAAATCTAATTCCTTCTTGAAAATATATTTTTCTCATTTATTTATGTATGAATTTTAGGAATGCATTTTTTTCACTTTTCTTTTATTTATGTGAGAAATTTAAGAATGTTCTATTTTTCCTTGTAACTTGTAGATGGGCTTTATTTTACTTTTCGCGGGTACATTTTATATTATATATTATAATTACCCTCAGTATATGTCTTTTTAATTTAAATTAGGAATTACAAAACACTTTTAGGTTAATTTTGTCTCTTCTTGAAAACATAATTTTTTATTTACGTTTAGGATATATTTTGTTTTTTCGTAAAAAGAATTGTTTTGATACTTTGACATAAAAGAAATTAAAAGGTTAATGAACATTTTTCAAAGGATCAAATTAATAATAGAATATTATTTTGCTATCTTTTGGTTATCAGAAAGAAAGACAAAGTTTCCAAAGGCTGTTCAGCAAAAATTTCAAGAAAATATTTTCATAACAAAAACAGATACATTCCCTTCTTACGCAATTTTGTAGGAATTAAAGTTGAATACAAATTCCTAACTATTAGTATAGTCTAAGATACGTTTTTTTTTGGGGGGGGGGGGGGGGGG